TGCGTGCTTTGCTCGAATGGTAGGAAAATGATTATAAAGCTTGGATTGGCTTGCTACTACAGAGAAATGACGACGTGGGACTAAAAAACAGCGGAAGGTTTCGAATGCAACCACTCTTCAAGCCCAAAAATAAAAAATAGAAATAGAAATATAACCACTTTCCTCGTGCCCTTTGATGTTATAGTTTTAGCATCATTTATCATTCCCTTCGCTTTGTTTTCACTAAAGAAATCAAATCAACTCTTAGAGTAATTGAGTCGGATAAATAGTTGGTGCGAGTAATTATATGATTTATTAGTTCATAACTAACGATGGCAATGCTTTAATAAAAATAAAAGTCAGGAATTTTTAAATGAAATTTTATAAATTGAAATCATATGACTAACTTTCTTTATTAGTAAAATAGGAATATAAAATTTGTGTGTGTTGCGTGTTGTAAAATTCTCAACAGCATGGAAATCTTATATCTTAACTCAGTAAAATTGTCCTACACACACTGATGGAGATGAGATAGGCAATCGAATTTTTTACATGGAAAAACTTTAGAAAATGAAAAAAATCATTGGATCTGACCATATCAAGGTAAACCACTATGAAATTGAAAATACATGGGCCCACTCTTCTCTTAATTTACGGAATATATAATTATGAAAATTTGTTGATTATAAATTTATAATAATATTTTGGCGACGATAATCATAATTGGAATATAAGGACTGTAGTTGGTGATTATAATAGTCGTAATTAGTTATGGTAATTGTTGGTGGTGGTCGACAGTGACATTTGATAGCTGACGATAAGCTCTTGTGACCGGCAGCAACTGTCAGGATTTCACAAGCTTTAGTAGTCTACTAACTTCTATTCTTCTTCTCCCCTTTAAGTGATGGATGAGGGCATATGTATAGTTTTTGTATAAGCTCTTGTGACCGGCAACAATCGTCAGGATTTCACAAGCTTTAGTCTGCTAATTTCTACTCTTCTTCTCTCCTTTAAGTGATGGATGAGGGCATATGTATAGTTTTTGAGATGGTTATTCTGATAACTTTAGCCAATCTTCCAAATCATATCATTGGACCGCCCACATCCATTCACTGGATCACAAATAGTTTTTTTTTTACATTTAGTTCATTGATGACATCATAATTAAATGAACCCCTACTTGTTAGATTCTTCTTGTCGAAACACTCCATTTGATTATAAACTTCATGAAATTGGGGTCAGATTATCTTGTTCATAATGCTTCACTAATCATATCCGATGATAAAAAATTATTGAAACATATCAGTGTGTATCCAATAACTCACCACAAAGTCATTAATAATTAATAAATTTGATAGCCTTTGTCAAAGATAGTGCAGATATTGACATCAATAAGAAATAGAAAGAGATAAATCAACCAAGGACAACTTTATAGAAAGCTCCATATATTAAGATGATTGTAATATAACAAAATTGGACATAAGCATAAATGAATGAACCAATGAGAGAAATTGGATTAAATAGCCAGACAAAACTTCATTTCAATTAATGAAATCTCAGGTTTCAAAGAGCTTTGTTTTAGAGTTTCATATCTAAAACCTTGAAATAAATATTTGTCTATTTTTTGGTTTAATAAAAGTAATTAGAAAAAATTATAGATTCTTAGTGAATGTTTATTCAAAATTGAGGTGATCAATTCTACTATAACAACAAATTTTGATGCATAATATTACTAGATATTTGGTTGGGCCAACCTTGTAACAAACTTATAGAATCTAAGTCAGAATAGCTAACAACAAACTAGCATCAACAATGTTATTGTTGATGGTGTGCCTTGGAGGCAAAAAGTGAATGTTGACTTAGTATGCTTCCCCCCTGCCATTAATGGTAAACATTAGTGAACTTTTTGAGCTAACAAGCAAAGCCCTTTGTTCTTTCACTATAATCTTTCTTGTATATTGGTTTATGTATAACTTTTTGAAAAAAAGTATTATAATAATTTTGACCTAAAATTAAAATACACACTCAAACTATTCATTTTGATCTTTCTTAAGGTATCTTATTATCTTAATGATATTGGAAGTAAACTATCACGGGCTCGTCAGATTTATCTAGTATGTTCATTATAATTAGGAACACTCATAATTTAGATGATCCTTATGCAGGTGCTTCTTTCAAAAACTCAATGTATTTAAAGATCTAAGAAATGTTTCAAGGTAAATTGCTTGATCAAATAAATTTTTTATGGCATATCACTACTCTTCACCAAAAAACTCTTTAAGTAAAATAATGTAATATAAATAAATACTCTTCAATTGAATATTTATTATTTATTAAACATTTGTTTTCAATTCGCGTGCTTTCTTGTAATTTTTTTGGGGTTATTGAAAATCTTTTTTTACAACTCTTTTTTTTTTTTCAGTTTAGTTGTTTCTAGTTGTAACAATTTTTGTAGTATTACTCGCCATTGTAATGGGTTTCTAGAGCATTTCTATGGCCAGGGAGCCTAGTCAAAATTGGGGGCTTGTGTTTAACTTAAAATGGTCTAAGTTTATATACAAGCTATGGTGGATTTGGTCCAATCCATGCAAAAACCTAATGTTGGGCCTAATGTTGTAATCAAGCCGGGTCAAGCTGAGTAAATCTTAGTTTGGACTTAGCTTGGTAATATTATATTAAAAGTTATTCATGTTCGGCTTGAGCTTATGTCGAGCATTCACATATGCATTCAAGATTGACTTGTTTAAAAGTTTCAATTATTGAATTTAATTTATACTTGATTTGTTTATATCAAGTGAATGAGTTCTTAAATGAGTTAATAAGAAAAAAAGCTAAAAATTAGAACAAGTATCAATTTTTCGTATTAAATTTTCAATAGATGATTCTATAAATTTAAATAATTAAGTAATTGAATAAATTTTGAATTAGCAATACTAATTTTACACAAATTAAATAAGAAACTATGTATGTTGTAAAGTATTTTTTTTAATAAAATAACATAAAGAGTACTATTAAATTAATTTATATAAATTAAAAAAATAAGAATGTATTGCATTAAATTAATTTGCATATTATCAATAACAATTTAAATTATTTAAAAATAAATAAATAATAGTTAATCAATTTTTTTAAATAATATTTCATATATAAATATCTGATATAAGTTATCACAGAGTTCAATATTGAATATTTAAAAAGTTATTTCTTAAACAACAAAGGAGTTTATTCGTGAACATAACTAAGTTGCGTCCATGTTTAGTTCACTAAAGTTACGAGCTTTTAAAAAATATGTAAACATGTTTATTTTTTAATTTAAACAAACAAAATCAAATTTGAATCAAATCGATTTAGGGTTGTTTATCAAATGCAGTGGTTCACAAACGTAATTAGAGCAAACAAAAGACCTTTTGTACATATTCTTTCATGAATAATGATATACTCCAAATTAATAATTCACACAAGAAAAAGCACTTAAAATGCGCCCATCACAAATAGCTGCATGACTAATTTGGCAAAATTTAAATAAATGAACTTATGCCATAAATGGATCCAATAAGTTAATGAATGGCTTTCATAAATTTCTCTATATAGATTATAAAAAAATCATATTTAATTAAAAAAACCACAATAAAAGACTTTACTGTTTGTTAAGATCAGTTATTCTACATTTAGATGGACAACCTAACATTTAAGAATAAAACCCTACATTTATTAAAGCACAGTGCCAAATATTCCTACATTTATTAAATCACAATGCCAAATATGGGTGTCAAAAATTGGCCCGACACGTCGACATGAATCAAACTCGATTCAAAAAGTCCGGATAAAAGTTAACCCAAATATTTTTCGAGTCAGGTTTGAGTCAGAAAATTTGAATCATTTATTATTCATGTCTGGCTCGAATTGAACCCAAAAATCTAAACATGACCTTAATAAACACAAAATTTCAGGTCGGATTTTGTTTAACATATCATACTCGAGCTTAGGTCTTAATTTTCAACTCATTTATTATTCAGATCAGGTTCAGGTTGACTCTACTTAGGCCGAATCAATTACAAATCAGACCGAAACTTTAGAACCCCAATTGATACCCCTAATGGCAAGGTAAAAAAACTCATCTTATAAACACCCACAAATATATTAAAAAATTAATATTTCAAATCAAATATTTTAAATTTGAATAATATATTTTATGTATTTTTTCAAAAATTTATATCTATTAACCAAAAAATGAGGGAAATAAAAAATTATAGGCGTTACATTTTAACATATCGTACACCTTGATATTTTACTCTTCTTAAATACAAATATCTATAAAATTAAGAACCTAATTAGGATAAACTTCTTCATTTTTTTTTTATTTTAAAAATATATTTATTTAATATTTTTTAGCATGTTTATATATTATACTTTTTTTAAAACAAATCAACTGTTTAAAAGTATAGTTTTTAAATGTTCAAAATATTCTAAAAACAATAATATTTTACATTAACAAATATCAAACATATTTTATTTTAAAATAAAATATAAAGTAACAAAATAAAAAATAAAAATGATCCCCTAAGTGTTACTCCCTATTTTACATTACAAAAACAAATACTAAATAATTTTATTGATTATAAACAAACACATGGCCTTTTACAAGGTCATATGCTCGAAAAATATTTGCATACGTAAGACGTACGCAGAGTTGAGTACGTCGGGAGGTTATTTAGAAAGTATATGGGGGTTATATTCGCATAATATCCTCATGTAACCTCTGTGTAACCTATCTTTAACCTACAAATAAGTTCTGCACTTCTGTAGTTCCGATAGGTACAGGTAAGTTACAAGAATGTTATAGGGATTATAACGTGAATGTAACCCCCTTGTACTCTTTGAATAACCTCTGAAGTAAGCAGTGTTGCGTACCTCTTACATACGTAAATATTTTCCCATATTCTCTGATAAGAACTCCATACAGCACACACCCAACTTATAATTTGACAAATCTATCCAAAAATTCAGCAAATATACCGTCTGAACTGCAATATTCATATTAATCGACTTTCCTGCTGCCCACAGATTAATCATTTATTTATTCTATCAAAATTATGGAGAACTTATTACAGGAATAAATCAGCGTGAATAGGGACGTATACATCCTTTCATTGAGACATTATAACAGGGACCTGACCATAATCAACTCTCACATAAATCGTAACTTATAACAGGGACGTATGCATAATTAACAGGGACGTATGCATCTAATCGCAAAAGTTTAAAAAAAAATTTAAAAAAAAAGAAGGATCAAAACGTAACTTATAACTTTATATAATTAACCTGCTGTAAGAACCCTGGCTGTGTTTGTAATTTAACTTAATCTGTTGTTCCCTTGCTTGCCTTGTAGGTGTTGATGAGCTGCATCTGCACATCTTGGGAAACTGCTGAGTGCTCCAGGTATTCCATGGTGAATTCCCCTTTCCCCTGTAAATATTTAAAACAAAAACATCAGAGAATGATGATCCAAATCTTGTAAATGTTTTTATTCATTAAAGCTACCGTTTGGCTGCCGGGAAAAAAGTAATGGTCAGAAGACTTTGAAATATGGGAATAACTTGGAACTCCCAAAAGTCTTAGGGCTGTTTGGCAGCAGTTTTAGTAAACCTTGTGAATCCAGACTAATTAAATCCTAGCAGGATTTAGTAAATTTAAGAAAAAACTAAGAAGGTGAGAAGAAACTGGATTTATTAACACATGATTTAAGTTAAATACAATTTAAATCCATCACCACACAATCCCTTAATAAAAATCTCTTCTTTTTCAGTTTAGCCAAATGGAAGATTAAGAGACTGTTTTGTTTGGTCAGATGATCTCAGGTTTATCAATGGTCAGCTTTACATCTTGGAATATTGATCTCTTAAGCTTTCAGGAGTTTTATTTTTACCATTCACCCATTGTGCCATGTACATAATCTACACTTTTTCTCTATTGTCGGTGGTGATAGTAAGAGCAAGAAAAGGTATAATAGGCACCCTACTAACCCAAGAAGGCTCCAATCTATTGTGGTGCCTAATCGGTCCCAAAAATACTTGAACTCTGGCTCTTTACGGTATGTAAGTCCGCAATCAAATCCCCAAGTGGATCTTAACCCTATAATTCCAAACATTAACCCCCCTTTCACTTCCCTTCTTCAAATCTAATAATCTAATTCATCATATATCTCCCCATAACTGCTCGAAATAATAAATCAAATTCCTCGTCTTTGATCTCTCTCAATGGCAAAAAGCTTTCCAAACAATCCTCTTAGAGTTTATCCAATGGTTTGTGGCAGATTTAAATGAAATCATCCTCTAACATCAATTTCTCATTTGAGATCACTTTTGGTTTTTGTTTTTTATTTTTTGATTATTTTTTTTTTAATTTTTGTTTATGTTTTTCCTAAAAATGAAACATGTTGAGTTGCTTTTAAAAAAATTCAAAACAACTATTAAATGTTTTAAATATTCTTAAAAATAATTATAAAAATATACAAAAAAATGCACTAACTAAATATATTTTTAAAATAAAAGCAGAAATAAAAACAAAAAACCAAGAAAAAAGTAATCCCAAAAAAGCCCTTACCTTTTCAAACCCTATTAGCCCTTCATTGACATCTTGGAAATGTCAAAGTTCTTCATGTGAAATATTGCAAACATCTGGTGCAGACTAAAAAGTATTGGTCTTATCAATCTAGTTGAAACTAAAATTCATTTGGAGCATCCATGTGTTACATCTCAATAAAAGACAAAAATTGTTCCATAATGAATGTAGAAATCATAATTTGCATTCCTACCAACATAGTAGGATTTTGATCAAATGAAGATGATAGCAGAATCTATTTCTCCTCTTTTATCACCAACGTTCAATTTATCAATGAAGTCCCTTTCTATCACTTCATTTATTCAACTGCTGAAAGAAAAATTATCTGTAATGCAGGTTTTCTCGGAGGTGAATGTATCCCTTGTGGTAACTAGTGATTTCAATTACATTAAATCTTAAAGAGTTAAAAACTGGGGATTTTGTGGTTCTCCCTACTGAGCTGCTTTATTTTAATAATTACATACACCATTTTGGCCTCATGAATCTTCTGAACTCTAGCCTTTCCTTTTATTGGTTTAACAATCAATTTATAAACTCTGCTTGACTTGTCATATTCTCTTCCTCTTCTAATAGACACTCCTGCCTCCTTATTATCACTTTTCAGTGCCTGTCTAGCTTCTTTCACAATGTCAAACACAGGTTTCCCTTAACAAGATTTTCATCTCTCCATCCTGATTTTAAAAGTATTACTAAAAATTAATTGGAATTTTTATTTCGAGTAACCCTATGTTTATCTTATATAAAAATTTTTGTGCTGACCAAAATCTAAAACTGTTCCTTAAAACGAGGTGCAAATAATTGGAATACTTTTATTGTGAGTAATCCAATCTTCATCTTATATGAAAAATTTAGGATGTTAACCAAACTCTAGAAAATGTTCCTTAAAACAATGATGCAAACATATCCAGCTCCATATTTTTTCCTAAAATTTAATAAGCAAGAATTTTCTCTTTACCAAAGCTCCATCTTCTTGATCAACCTACTTTTATTAAAATCTAGAAAAAATAAAGAAAAACCTTCGTTTCCTATTAATTCTACGAGCAAATGTCTAATTCAAAGGAGCTAAAGTTAATTGGTTAGTTAAAGCTGATGATTTGCCAAAAAACTTAATAAGATTAAAGGAAAAAGGAATAAAAATTTTACTAAAAGACTATGCAAACCTTCAACCTCTCTTACAAACTCGAAATATATTGCTCTTAAAACTATCAATTACTTCACTGACCTTTATAATTAGCAAGACACCTTATGTCTAACTAGTTGCCTAGTAATGTGCAAATTTTAAATATGGGCATGTGTTTTCCTTCACTGATCAAGAAACCATTAGTACTCTTCAAAAATTTGATAAGAAGGTTGCACCAAAATTGGATGATTTCAAAAAAAAATTTTACCAAATCCAGAAATATTACTGGCAATCAAGTTGTGCCTCTTAAGGATTTTTTACATCAAAAGAAATCCCAAACGGGGCCAACCATTCTGCATTTACTCAGATATATAAGAAATTGCATACCACAAGTACTTTGAATTACAGACCAATATCCCTGTCTAATCGCTTGAAAACCATTCCTCTTCATATAATCCATCCAATCCAGAGAGTTCTTATTAAAGGAAGAGTGATCTTTAATAATGGCATTCTTGCTAAAGAAATCCATAAAAGCTTCTCCTCTTCCAAATCCACTAAGAACTTCTAGGCCAAGATTGATATCATGAAGGCATTTCATAGCATTAATCAAACCTTCATGTCGTAAAACTAATAAATCCTACGGCAAATTTTAAAATATAATAATGAATGTATATTTAATGTGGGCCTTTCTATCATTAATGGGAACATGTATAGCTATTCTATCTCCTCTATGAATGTATATTTGGTTAATTTTAATTTAGTTCAGCTTCAGCTCTCATGTATACACATGTTTGTGTGCATGTACGTGCTTGTGCTTGTGTGTGTGTGTGTGTGTCTCTCTCTCTCTCTCTCTCTCTCTCTCTATATATATATATATATATATA